GTGTGTGTGTGTGTGTGTGTGACCAATTAGCCTATCCAGCCTCATCTTGGATTGAAAAAAAAAATCCCCAGATGGAAGTAATTGTATTCATAAGCCCTTGTATTTTTAGAATGCCTTTTCCAGAAAGCTCAAAGCGTAGCACTCTGTGGCCTAACCTAGTTTGTTCCTGGACTAGCTCCAGGTGTTTGGTAAAGGCACAGCTTCTATAATTATTGTCATTTTACATTTGGAGGATGGAGAAGCTTTGTGGGTTGAAAAGGTCACATGGCATTAACGGCAGGATTGGGAACAGGATACTCAGCTTCTACTCCTGGTCTACTAGTGATTTCCAGACTGGACCCCAGATAAATGCTCTGATGGCTGCATAAGAAGCACTTGTGGAATTAATTAAAAATATAGATTGCTGGACTCTATTCGTCTAGAGATTCCAACTCAGTAGGTCTGGGGTGGGGCCCAGGAATCTATATTCTCTACAGGCATTCCAGATCATTCTGATGCGCAGCCAGCTTTGGAAACTAATACTATAGAGCACACGACAGACACACTACCCACCTATTTCCTCCCAGAAATGTCTTTCACTGAAACATGACTTTTTAATGTTTTTCTTCTTGCCACCCACCCTCAAACTTCCCCAGGCCTCCCAGCTCAGGCCAAGAAACATGCTGAATCTGCCAGGAGCACGCTGCTGACCTGGAAGGAAAACACGACCTCAAACACGGAAAAAAAGGAAATCCTGGAAGCTCTGGTCATGCTGTACTACACCATGGGGGTGGCCTGGCTCCTACAGAACCAATATCCTTCCTTTCCTGGCTGGGCCTGTGATCAGAGCTTGGGGCGGGGGGGGGGGTTGGGAGCACATGTCCCCAGGCGGGTCGTCTCACCTAGGAGCAGGGGAGATTGAACCAGGCTTCACAGCTCTATTCTGACATCCAGAGCCCCCTGCAAGCTTCTTATCTTCATCTAGAAGGGTATGAATATTCCTCCTGTATCTGTTCATATAAACTCTGAGTTGAGCCATGAGAGGGGTCTCACTGGTGACCTGTCTCCTAGCCAGCTGAAAAGTTTTCGGAGTGTGTCCTGCTTGATTGAGCACCCAAGAAGACCAGTTTTAGCAGTGAGGACATGGGTGATAGTGGGTGGGGGGTGGTATAGGAGTGGGGAGAGCGGGTGGTAATTTAAAGCAATGTTTGTCAAACTAGGCAGCACCTGTAACCCCTGGGGAGCTTTAAGAATTATTGCTGTTTGGGTCCCACCCTCGAGATTTTGATTTAGTAGGTCTGGGGTTCATCTGTTTATTGAGATTTTTTAAAGTCCCCCAGGTGATTGTAACCTGCAGCCAGAAGTCTCTGATTTAATGGACTCTTGATCATTTTTGTTTTTCTGAAATGCTGTTGAGAATACTGCCATGAAGCTGGAGGCCAAGCAAAAAAGACAAAAGAAATAGTTCTCTATGTCCCCAGAGGCGGACCATTACTCTTCAAAAAGCGTGTGATTTTGACAGCCTTTTGGTACTATCTCTACTTGAAAACTGTGCATGGTATTTCGTGTTCACTATCGATCATACACTAAAGTTGGAACGATGCAGAGATTAGCGCGCCCCCGAACAAGGATGATATGCAAATTTATAAAGCATTCCATATTAAACAAAATTAACCATGAGTCTTCTTTGAGACCGTGTGTCCTTCATCTCTCCTCTTTACCACGTTCCCCTCTCTGCTTTTTTGGTCTTGGTACTCAACTTGTAAACACTGATTCGTTGCCTTTCTCTGTTATGCCTTTAGAAGGGGCTACTGACTATGTGGGAAATAGGATATTTGGGAATTAAGGGGATTTTCTTTCTTGCTGTTTGCCTTTTGCCAAAAATCTGTTTTGCTTGGACTTTCTAAATGATCCAGAAAGTCCCTTTCAGCAGAATTAGTTCCTCTCTTTTACCATTCACAGGAAGCAACTTGGGAAAAGTGAGTATTATCACACCATGGATGCCTCTAAAGGAAATCTAGCATAATTTACAGTTTCTGTTCGCTTCTCCAAATGCTCACCACCCACCACAGCCCTGGATTCAGGCTACTGCCATGAGAAACCCAGGTCTCTGTTTATTTTCTAAAGAATTCTTGACAACATATACATATAGAAAATAAAGAACATAGTAAAGTGCCTGTTTTTCAAATTCTGCTTCATTTTCCCAAGTGGCCCTTTTGTTTACTTATCAACCGTTGTCCCTGGGAAGTGGGGGAGTTTGTGTGCCTAGCATTTTCCTTGACTGTTTCACTGGCAGAGAGGCTTATTTCAACCTGCAGAAGGCAGAGAGAAACATGAAGGAGCTGAAAGAATTATGTGAGGGAAGTGTTCACAGATTACAAGTCTCGGAGAAAGACCTGACAATTGCTTTGGGCAGGTAAGATCTGGGCTTTGAGAGGCTTAGGCTTTTGTGAATGAGGCCCGGTATCACATGATTGTTCTGTGCTCTTCTGTATAAGGGGAGAAAAAATACTCAGGGCAAAAAACCCAGATACTCAGATGGTGATAAAAGAGGCGTTTTATTTACCAAACGCACACACCATGGTCTAAGCTTTATGTGCAGTGCCCATTGAATTCTCATAGACAGCAGTGAGGTAGTTGGTGCAATTATTGTAGAGGGAGAGAGAGAGGAAACTGAGGCTGAGATTAAACAAACTGTCCACGGTGACAAGTGTTGGATCCATGGTCTGAACTCATGGACTCCTCGCCCTTATTCTGTCTTTCACACCTACTCTCAAATTATGTCTTTTTCTAAATCGCCACCTACTTTTGTCATGAAGCATGGTATCTTAAAAGACAAGGAAAGAGTACTTAATGAAGACCGTTTGTTTATTGGAAGCCCATGAAGGCTATGCACGGCACATGCATTTTTAAGGAAAGTTCTGTTCCATATGGAAACCAAGTACTTGGGATGTGTTCAAGCCAGAACAAGACTTAACTGGTTTGCAGTTGAGTTAGGTATCCTCAGAGAGAATCACAGTATTTACATATAAGAGTGGGCCCAGCAGATTATCAGGGGAAAAAAAGAATAATAAAAGGTTTACTGTTCCTTAGATTTTTAAGATATCTGCACATCCACAATCTGGTTCCAAAACTGTAAACACTTGGCATGGTAGAGTCGATGACGGAATGGTAAGTAAATGAAATACATGAGTCATGCCTACCTGCTCTAAACAACCATGAACCTAGAAATCAAATGGGAAATGGTGGGGAGGTGTTTGAATGCCCAACGTTAGATCAAACTATTGATATAAGTCCACGGAGCCATAAATTAGAGTCTAGTGAATGTCTGCTGCTGTCACATGGGTCAGTGGCTAAGGTTTTTGTGCCGTATGTGAAAGATAGCCTTGTTCCTTTTTCAGAATAAATACTAGTGCGTATTTCACTCATTCATTCTACAATATTTATTTAGTATCTATTTTGTACCTGCACTGTTCTAAGTGTTGGAACAGTGTAACTATCTCCAAGAACTATTCTAAGTGTGCTACGTCATTTATTTAGTTCAATCCTCTACCGCAAGCTATGAGGTAGGTATTTTTGTTTTCATTTCACAGGTAAGAAAATTAAGGCACAGGAAGAGTAAGTAACTCAAGGTGACAGAATGACTAGTAGAAGATCCAACACAACAGATGGGTCTTCTTAATCCATAGCTCACCTTCTGTACTACATTGACTTATATTTCATATAGAGCAAATATCTAGTAAGGGCAAATCCCCTTTCTCATTTTAAAGGTAGGGAAAATACACTGTGATTGTTTAGGCCAGACAACTTGGCTAATATCTCCCTACAAGCTCTTGATGAGAGGCATTTTCATTCTGTAACTTCTGCTGTAATAGTCAAAGGAAATAGTGGTCTGATTGATCAAATATTTTTTCTGGAAAGAATTACCGGATAACATGCCAGTGCTCTTTTGATTGTTAATCCCAATCTTCAGAGGAAGGATGAATCTTTCAGTTTAAAATAAATTGTAACTTGTGGAATGCCTTATATAAAATAATTTCATATACATACATATTTTTTCCACTCTGGGAATACAAAGATGGAAGAAGCAAAGGGTGAGGGGAAGTAATATTGATTGTGTATCCACTATATGTTAAGTAATTTCATGTACAATTTTTTATCTAATCTTTATAACCTTGTAATTTAGGTATTCTTATCATTGTTTTATTTGGAAGGAAATGTAGACTCCTGGAATTTGACCATAAAGCTAATAACTGAGGGGGGCACCTGGGTGGCTCAGTCAGTTAAGTGTCCAACTTCAGCTCAGGTCATGATCTCGCAGTCTGTGAGTTCGAGCCCCACGTCAGGCTCTGTGCTATCAGCTCAGAGCCTGGAGCCTTCTTCAGATTTTGTGTCTCCCTGTCTCTCTGTTCCTCCCCCACTCACTCTCTGTCTCTGTCTCTCTTTCTCAAAAATAAATAAACATTAAAAAAAATTTTTTTAAAGCTAATAACTGTGAGAACCAGCTTTGAACTACCATGTTATTTGCCTGTGTCTTGCTGTCTCTAGAGGAATAAACTTTAATGAAGTGCTTTTTTATTCTCATTTTTAAAATTATATTTTGTTTTGGAAGATTTGAAAATATAGATATGAAGAAGAAAATAAGAGTTAGTTTTAATTTCGCAACCCAAACATAACTGCTATGGATATTTTAGAGATAAAGATTGATCAATCGATAGATAGATATGTCAGGGTCAACTTTAAGTAGTCCTATCACTTTTTAAAATTTGCCACACTTTTAATTTCTCCTCATATTATTTAGTCTAAAACGGAAGCATGGTTTTTAAAGCCTGAAGTATTTTATTATATGATGTGCCATAATTTATTGAACCACTGTCTTTTGGAAGGAATATTTACATTGTTTTCTCTATCCTCATTTTTAACTGAGGAGGAATAAACTAAATCAAACAAGACAAAGCAATGGCTTTGTATTGGTCTGAAAGAGAGGGAGTCAGAATAAAATTTTATTCTGATTCTAGAAAGTCTGTGTTTACGGGTAAATTACCCATCTTGTGAACTGCTGGAAGCCATTTTATGCTTTTTTATAAAATTAGACTATAGCATGCTGTATTAATGGGAGTGAATATCAGTCAGTGGAATCTGGTGGGTAAAATGCAGGTTAATGGGAGTTTGTTTATAGCAAGACTGGATTTTAGTCAACCACTCAGATAATTGGCCTCTAAAGGCCAAATCGTTTCATTCTTAGAATCAGTTCCTTTTGTGTCTGCAAAGTAAGGGGCCTCTCTGACTTTGCATCTTTGTCCCTCTTCTTATAGAGCCTCCTTGGCTGTCCACAGATTGAACCTTGCTCTGGCATACTTTGAAAAGGCAATTGGCAATGTTATCGCTGCTAAGGGTGATAGGACATCAGATCTGGTCAGTCTGTACGAGGAGATCGCGCAGATCGAGCAGCTGAGGAGGAACCATGATCAGGCCATCCAGTACTTGCAGCAGGTTGGTGAGTTGGCTGGAGCACCAGCCTACTGGCCTTCTTTGGCCCCATGCCCCGTTCCCAGGACCAGGGAAGCTTGGGCTTCTCAGAAGAACTAGGGGGTGGGGTGGATTTCCCGCCAGATCCACACAAGAGCCCTTCCTCAACCTTAAACAACATGGGCAGAGAATCCGGACTCAGGATGAGTGTATCTGCTGTTTGACCTGATCGGGGACCAAATTTCCCCTCCCAGGCTTCCCCTCATCTCTGTGGATGCTGGGAAGAGGTAAGCAAGTGAGTCTGCTCCAGGGAAAAAAGCCGTAGGGGCAACGAAACTTAAGGCTTTAGCAAACACAAAGGGCTTTTTTAAAATGAAAAGAAAAATCATGATATTTTGGTTTGATGCTGTCATTTGTCCTCTAGGCTAGCCCAGCTGGTTGTATCAACAAGTCTAAATTTAAACCGACAAAAGAGTATTTCACTTGGAGGTAACTAATTTGACAAATGCCCAGGGGAAAACAAAACAAAATAGGAAGGAATGTTGAGTCATTATAATGAAAACAGTGTGGGGCTTTTTGATGCATCCTGTACTTGAAACTTCCCTTGAAACTTATTAAATTCGCCTTTTCTCTCCTCAAATAAGAACCTGTTTGTGGCTTCTGGTACCTCCGGAAGCCAAAAGTGGATTAGATTTCCTGTATCATAGAAACCATGCAATGCAATTCAATGGTATATGTGAAAACAGTCTGATACTGTAGAAAAGGCACTGCAGGTAATCACACCGTGGAGAAATGTTAGGGGATGTTGGTCTGAAGGCAGGGAGTCCACTGTTTACAGAGCAAGCCATCAGGTTCTTGTGTCCAAGACTGTGCAAACGGCGGTCAGATCAGGATTGCCAAAACAAGATATAGTCAGTGTTTCCCAACAGCAACACAAATAGTTAACATTTATGGACTGCTTTTACTATGTGCACTTGAGAATATACTCATTTAATCCATGCAATACGCCTATGAAGTGGAGGCATTATTATGATTTGATCTCATTTTAAGGATGAGGAAACAGAAGCTTAAAGAGTTATAGCTAATTCAGCTGAAGTTGTGTCGCTAACAAGTAGGAGAGCAGGGATTTGAACTTAGAGAATTTGAGTCCTCAGAGCCCGCACACATACCAGCTCTGAACTCTACCTTAGCTCCATAGTGTTGTCTGAAATCTCTGGGGCTCCTTGAGATACCTCACAGTGTCTGACCCGTGTGAACTATGAGGCACGGGGGAAGGGGGCTTTTTTCTTTCTGGTGGGTGTGGGCCAGGGGTTTGTCTCTTCTTTCTCCATCCACTTTAGTACGAATGATAATAGTAATAAAATCTCCATTTCTGTCATGCTTAGGACATTCCAGGTGGTATCCTAAACACTTTACACATATTAATTCATTTAATCTTTACAGCAACTGCTTGTAACAGTCATTTTTGTCATTCCGGTTTTATATTTGAAGAAGTTTGTGACTTGCCTGAGTCATCAGTGGCTGAGCTGGGATAGGAACCCAGGCAGTATGGTTTTAGGGTCCATACTTAACTCTCCTGAACTTCCTTTGATAACGAACCTTTGAGAAGCTTAGCTAAAGTTGTGATTTTAATTTTGCGCTGACACCTAATAAGACATCATAGTGGCTAATATTTATTAAGAACTTACCATGTGATGGTATTATGTGTGCTTTGCATGTACCATCTCATTAATATTTTCCAAACCACAACTGATGGAAACTATATATTTCTTTTACACGTGACGGTGAAGTTACTTGCTCAAGACTCACAGGAAATAGCTGGGATTCAAACTCACCTCTCTTGTAACTCCATGATTAGATATCCACAGCTCTCAACTAGCAATTTCACGAGAGCTATTAGAAAATCCTCTGAAATACTGTCATTTGGGTACTCTTGATAATGACTTTCTCTATTCCAGGCCTATTCTATCTGTGTATCTTTGTTCACTGACGTCAGCCCCCAAACTGCAGAGGCAAGTGCGCTACTAGCCAAGGCTCATGCCCTGTCTGGAGAGGCCCAACACAGGGGTAAGTAGAAGAGGTAGCTTGCAGTTATCACCATTTCCCATGGTGGGGGGAAGCACACTGGCAATGGTCTATCTAGCGATGGGAACAGGTTATAATTAGCTATTCATGACTGTGATGGAAAAATTAGACTGGAAGCCATTTTGTACAAAAGCATTTACACATGAATTTAGGCACAATAATATCTCCACAGATTAGTTGGAACATCAAAACCAATAAAACCATCTGGTTTCTATTTCCTTTATTCTCTTAGAATCTCAGCAGAACTCACCTGCATAAAGAGTAGAGATCATACACACTATGAATGTGAGCTGTGAGGTATTGGTTGATGAGGAAATCCAGTGATAAAAGACAAAAACTTTGGCTCCTTCTTTCTTCCTCCTCCATTCTCAACCTCCTTGACTCTTTTCCTCTGGCTGTCAAGAGAGAACGCTTGTAGCAGCTAGAATTTTTATGACTATATTCAAAAGTGAGGTATTAGGGCTTCTGGAAGAAAGCCAGGTGATGAATTCATCAACAGTAGTCCTTTCTCAGACAAGGTCATCCTTTGGAAAGTGAGTAGCTTCAGGAGAGACACAAAAGAACGGATGAGAAAGGACTGTGTGCCGTGCTCAGCTGACTGGGTCAGATTAACGGACACTAATGGATTCAATGGCCCATCCAGAGGAATTTGAGATTTGTGAAAAATATGATTTAAACATTTTAAAATGTTGATTATCTCTGCTCATAAAAGGAATCCATTTAGGTGTACATTATTTTTCAGTCTTTTATGAAAAAGAGAGAGGAAGAGTGAGAGAGAGAGGGAACGAATCACAGGGAAAGTTTTGCATCCTACTTTTCTCCACTCTTCTATTTTCCCAAGTCATTAAATAATTTTGTTCAGTTTTCAGAAGTTATTTTCATATTTTGATTACTGTTTCCTTTAGCATGAATGTTCATTGAAGACTTCCTGATTCTGTGTTTCCTAGCTAATCATCTTCTTTAAAAAGTTTTCTTGTGTATACTCAGAGTATTTGTACTCCATCTATACATATGATTTTTTGAAAATAGTCTTCATGGTTATAACACATTTAATGTATTTGTGAATACGTAAAAATTTTGTTCAAGCGAGAAACTTCTATGCTTCTGGGTTGGGAGGTTCTAAGGCCACCTTATTCTTTTCTTGTATACTAATTTTTACCTGTAAAGATTTGGATCTTCACCTATCATTCACTAAATTCCAGATGGATCACATCTGACTGATCACAACTGAAAATATGAATTATCCCGAAGGAAATACAGCACTACAATCAAAACTCCTAAAATTAATAATTTAAGGAAATAAGAACTTTCTGAGCACACAAAGATAAACTAGAAGAGATTGATAGATTTAATTATAAAAAGATCTAGGGGCGCCTGGGTGGCGCAGTCGGTTAAGCGTCCGACTTCAACCAGGTCACGATCTCACGGTCCGTGAGTTCGAGCCCCGCGTCGGGCTCTGGGCTGATGGCTCAGAGCCTGGAGCCTGTTTCCGATTCTGTGTCTCCCTCTCTCTCTGCCCCTCGCCCGTTCATGCTCTGTCTCTCTCTGTCCCAAAAATAAATAAACGTTGAAAAAAAAATTTTTTT